TGTTCAATTTTGTGGTTTGTACTTATTTTATTATCGTTAATCAATATTAATTTGTATCAAGTTATATCACGTATCCTTAAAACTGCGTACAAATTCAATTGTTATCCAATTTTAAGGGTAAACACTGCTATACAACAAAAACAACAAACACTGTATAATTTCGCAAATGGGGTCTGGGGAGGATAGTATGTACGCATACCTTACCCTCACCTTGAACGTAGAGAAGTTATTTTCGAAAGACCCCGAGAAAATATGAAAGAAAGAAGTAGCAACAAACAGTAACAACAACAACAAGATATTAAGAAAACAAGCATAATGAAAAACATGTAGTAATAGAGATTTACCAATAATAGAATACAAGGCTAACTACTAATCCTACTGGTACATGGAAGATACACACACAACTACCTACTAACCTTCTACTCTAATTCTCGACCTCCATACCTTCCTATCAAGGGTCATGTCCTCGGTGAGTTGGAGCAGCACTAAATCCTTCCTAATTATCTCTCCACAGTATTTATTTGGCCTACCTCTACCTCTCTTCAGACCCACCACAACCAAACTCTCACACCTCCTCACTGGGCATCTGTGCTTCTCCTCCTCACATGCCCAAACCATTATAGCCTTGCATCTTGTCATCCACTAAGGCTGCTCCTACCCTGTCCCGAATATCTTCATTCTTAATATTATCAATCCTAGTATGCCTACATATCAATCTCAGTATCCTCATTTCTGTTCTATACAATATGGTTGGTCTAACAACCACACTGTAAATTTACTCTTAAGTTGAGGTGGTACATTCTTATCGCATAGAACACCAGATGCGGGTCTCCAATTCACCCACCCCGCTCCAATACGATGTGTGATATCCTCATCAATCTCCCAATTTTCTTGGATAATAGACGTAAGGTATTTGAAACTATCTCTCTTAGAGATGACTTGTGTATCAAGCCTCACGTCCACATCCGCTCCATCGGTCTCATCACTGAACTTGCACTCCAAGTACTCCACCTTGGTCCTACTCATCTTGAAATCTTTAGACTCCAGTATCTGTCTCCAAACCTCTAGTCTCGCGTTAACACTGCCTTGCGTCTCGTCAATCAGTACAATATCATCTAGAACTAATATATACCATGGCACTTCCCTTGAATGTGGCGTGTCAATGTATCCAACGCCAAGGCAAATAAAAATGGGTTAAGAGCCAACCCCTGGTGCAACCCTATCACAACTGAAAAATGGTCAGAATACCCTTCTACTGTCCTCACTCGTGTTTTAGCTCTATCATACATCTACTTAATCACCCTAGTATAAGCCACAAGAACACCCCTAGCTTCCAAACATCTCCATAGAATCTCCATCGAGAGTTTGTCGTATTCTTTTTCTAGATCAATGAATACCATATGAAGTCCATCTTCCTCTCCCTATACTGCTCCACCAACATCCTTACAAGGTGAATGGCTTCTGTAGTCTAATGTCCCGGCATGAATCCGAACTGATTTTCGAAAATAGATACGCTCCTCCTCATCTTCGCTTCCACCACCCTCTCCGGTGTGGCTTAGCTGTTTGATACCCCTGTAGTTGTTGCAATTTTGGATATCACTCTTATTCTTGTACACCAGAATCATCGTACTCTACATCCATTCCTCATGCATTTTTTTCGTCCAAAAGATGATGTTACACAACCAAGTGAACCATTCCAAGCTTGCTCTGCCCATGCTTTTCTAAAATTCTACCATAATTTCATCAGGTCCGGTCGTTCTGCCCCTGCACATATTACGCATAGCCCCTTTGACCTCCACAATTTTAATACGCCTACAAAAACCAAAGTCACGACGACTCTCGAAGTGCTCCAAATCATCCAACACAATACTCCTATCCCCTCTTCATTTAGGAGTTTATGGAAGTATGTCTGCCATCTATGTCTAATATGCGCCTATTCTATCAATACTCTGTCATCCTTGTGTTTGATGCACTTCTCCTGATCCATATCATAGGCCTTCTATCAATACTCTGTCATCCTTGTGTTTGATGCACTTCTCCTGATCCACATCATAGGCCATCCTTTCTCTCGCCTTGGCTAGCATGTATAGCTTCTTATCTCCACGTTTAACCTTAAATTATTCGTATAAACATCCAAATACTACTATAATATTCTAATTTCAAGTTTTCTACATATTATTAGTGCTACCAAATTATGAATAATTGATCAGGGTAATCAAATTATCATTATGTTGGAGATGTTTTAAGATATAGGAGGCAAAGAAAACCATAAAACTTTCATTATCCGCTCTCTGATTTCCCTCTTTCTTTTCTTCTTGTCTTAACATCGTTTTCTTCTTTTCTTTTTCTTTTTTTGCACTCTCTTTCTCTCAGATATTCAACTTTATATCTTTTTTCTCACATCTATTATTGGAAAAATGTGTGTGATTTCTTATACATAACAAAATAGGAAAATGCATAAATACCTTCTGACCTATACCCGGATTCCCAACTACATACTTTATTTTTGCGGGAATCCTATTACCCCCTAAAAAAATTTTAAATGGAATAAATAGCACCCTAAAACTAGACAACCAAACTTTTGGCAAGTGGTGAATTATACGTGCCCCCACATGTATTTTTAGTACTTTTTTTAATTCTTTCTTCTTTTCTTATCCTTTTTTCTTATTTCTTATTATTCTCATTTTTTTGGTTATTTCATTCTCTTTCTTATTGTTTTGGTCACCGATGATATAAAATGGTGGTCGTCGAAATTTCACGAATACCATTTTTTCGCCGATTTTTTTTTTCCGGCGACAGGTTTTTATCCCGTTTTGTTNTATATATATATATAAAATCTTGAAAGTATAATTTATGTGTGGGAGGAAGAACAAAAGAAATAAAAACGAATATAAGCTGAGAAGATTTTTTCAGTTAAAATTTCAATACATCAATTTTTTCCGGTGTGAGAAGGTTTTCCGATGATGAATTTTCCCCCCAAATCTAAGTGTATTTTGCTTTACTTATGAATAGATCTTTTTGAGAGTTTAATTTGTGTGTGAAAATGGTAAAAAGAGGATAAAGAAAAACAGAATAAATTGAAGAAAAACGATTAGATAAAGTCGTCGGTGAATGAATATCCGCCGGAATTAGAGAAGAAACAAAAAAAGAAGTAAAAGAAAAAAGACAAAGAAAAAGGAAATCTCCTTTTGGAGAGTGAAATATACACACTCTGCTACGTCAGCGTTAAGGGTGCAAATAATTCTACTTTAAAATAGTTTAGGGGGGTAATAGGATTCCCGCAAAGATAAAGTGTGTAATTGAGAATTCAGGTATAGGTCAGGAGTACTTATGCATTTTCCCTAATAAAATACTTCCAAAATGCATCGAAAAATAGAAGAATTGAATCGGAAAAAGAAAAAGGCTGAACATTTTTTTAAAAAAATAATTGGTTTTGTCATTAGAAGTCGAATGAAGTTAAGTTAAACTAAAATCAATCGAGAACTAAACTAACTAAATGCAAAACTAAAGAACCATGGCCACAACTCTAGGTGGCCAAATGGATAAATAAATAGTTATTCACTCATATTATCTATTAAAAAATGATTCGGATAATGCACCTTTTAAAATGGATCAAATATGGATAAGATCCATATTATCCACTTAAGAAATTGGTTTAACCAATGAGTTTACCTTTTACATTTACAAAGACTTAAATTGGGGATTCCTCAAGGTTGAAAGACTAGAAATTCTCCCAAAAGTGATCGTATTCAAGAAGCTAGGATATCCATATTATCCACCGGTTAATCCATTTTTTATTCGAATTAAATATAGGTCGAATTGGATAATTGATCCGTTTTTATATTACCCATTTTGAACCCAATCCGATTCGACCCGCTCGTTTACCACCCCGTCACAACCAACTGCACAAATTAAGACAATAATGGTGCACTCGTCATCTACAAACTTGGGCCACCTCTCGATGGAGGTGTTCAATAATTACGAGAACTCTTAGGAAGTGTTACTAGAAGGGTTCTTTGAGAGGACAAACGTGGTTAAGAAAACCGGAGGCCGTATTTGCAAAACTTTTTTGAAAAGGGACAAGATTTAAAGTGGTCCCAGAAAAGGCTATTTCTGCTCTACCGTTTTCATATTTATTTTTTAAGCATTTGTCCTGGTGTTATTGATTCCAGTTTTAGTCCTTCTGATATTACACACAGCAAATTGAAATTTTAATTAAGCACTGCCAGTATTTTTGGTTCTTCCACTAACGGAACTTAACAAAACAAACTGACAGTAAAATAGTTAAAATAGTACGAGCTAGCCAGTTTTAGAACTGGTCATTCAAAAATAGCCAGCATTTGCCAAATTATTGAAAAATAGCCACTATTTTGCTGCAACAGAAACCTATCCAACATAATATAGTAGAGTTCGGTGCACCTGTGTATGGATCCAGCAAAGTATACTAGAACTCTAGTATATTATACTGGAGCCAGCAAAGTATACCGGTCCAGCATAATATGCTGGAGTATTTTTCAGATTTTGATTAGTATTTTCGTTCAGATTTATTTTTACATTAAAAGTGGTTAAATTTTGATAACTTTTAAAACTGTAGCTATTTTTAAATGACCACTTGCGAATATGACTATTTTTTAATTTCTTGCCAGTAAAATACAAAGAAGGGCAATTTGGATATTGGAGAGAATTTGACAAGATACTAATTAAAATTCGATTAAAAAGATCAAACAAATATACAGTCGAATAGGCTCCACCATCAATTTAGATCAGTTAGTTTTGCATTCATTTGAGCATAGAACACTTTGGGAAAAAGATTGTACTGCATTATACTAAAACGTCCGAATTACTCTTCTTAATATTTAACTGTCAGTTTGTTTTATTAAGTTCCGTTAGTGAAAGGACCAAAAATACTCACGTTGCTAAGTTGAAGGTTTAATGTGCTGTGTATAATATCACAGGGACTAAAACTGGAANCTGGCCACTAGTCCTTGTACATCTCAATCTATGCTAAAATTAAATAAATGATTTTCGAAGGTTAACGATGACTGAATGAGTGCTACTGATACATTACAATAATTTAATTTGTTGCAGTGGTAGAGTAATCACTCGCATCAAGTTTTTGTTTTCACTAAAGGGATTTTGTAAGTGGTCTCAGGTTTGAGCCCGGGAATGGAAAACTTCCTGGTTGGGAGAGCTTCACCTCTAAATAGGCCATTTGCAACACAAATCTGTACTGGTCGGCCAGTGGGTTCCGAAAACCAGATGATTAAACAAATATATATAAAAGCTACTAGCATTAGGGGTGATCACTGATCAGGACATATGGTTTCCAAAGAAAAGCTTCTTCTTTCTGAAGCGCGCTAGTTGATGACTTTGGAAAAAGTCATTGTTTCTCTACTGAGCTGAAAGGTGCAAGCAGTATACGATCTGGAAAGCACAAAAACCAGTTATATCATTCTTCGCAGTCACAGATAACAACAACAACAACAACAATAACAAAAAACCCAGTGTAATTCAACAAATGAGGTCTGGGGAGGGTAGTGTATATGCAAACCTTACCCCTACCTTGTGAAGATACAAATGTTGTTTCCGATAGACCCTCGGCTCAGTAAGAACATAGTCACAGCATTATTAAAAAGAAATACAGTAATGGATCACACTGATATAAGATATGCTGTTGAAACTAAGTTTCTTGTTTTAACTCTGATTTTGACCATCGGTTGTTTAGAAATGAATTAGGTAAAAGTTGAGTTCTCTCATTCGGAGCAATTTCGGATAGTAGTTCTAACTTTTCTGTTCTAATTTAAGACAACGCATGCCAACACTTGACCTCGACCATGCTTCTATAAAACATAGATTGGTTGCAACAAGAAATATTGACAAACTGATACAACCAAGAATGACTATAACCAATTAGAGTTAAAAAATACAATAGAATAATAATGCAGGAACATAGGACTGAAAGCTAACAGTGTGCAGGTATTGACGAACTATACGTATAATTGTCCGGAGGTGAGTGCAACCAATGCACCACTTTCTTACTAGTTGTAACAAACAAGATGAAGAGAAGCATTTTTACTTTCTTTAGCGAAAAGAACCATGAAGTCCTGCTCCCTTTTTGTACTAGATATACTGCTAACCCTCTCTATTTGTTGGGACAGAGGCGTAAAAGTTGCTGTTGTTGTAAATAGTATGAAATGTAATTTCGGTAGCACCTAGTTGGTAATGTGATACTAAAATTATCAATTGTAAAGAGTTTTTCTGAGAGTACTCATTTTAGGAACAGAGAATAAGGAAATTTTTCTAAAAAGATACCACATGAATAAGATCACATATAGTTCAATAGCATTTAAATAGGCAAAGAGCGTGGATGTCAAGTATACTAGAGAAAATGGGTGAACATTTTATTCCAAACAAAAGTAACATCAAATTCCAAGTCAGTTTCCTTGTTTCCAGTCACATAAACACCCCTCCC